TAACCCCTTTAAGTTTTGAACCAGTGTTCATATAAATTTACTGATTTGAGGGTGTATCAACATTAAAAGCTGTGTTTTAGATAGGTTATTAGGAGTGCAACCCAATAAATTAGGAAGTGTAATACTGATGCGGTTGTATCTTGGGAGTGCACTTGCCTGGATTGATTGTATCTCATAATTTTTACCATGTCGGGGCTATCTAACATTCAAAGAAAGTGAGTCCATCTCGTGCCTTAGGTCGTTTAGTATTATATTATCTACCTTTACATCTCTGTCCCTGTTGCTTTAAAACTAGACCTAATCCCAAGAGTAATTTTGTCCTTATAGACTCTGAACCTAGACCTAATCCCTCAGGGGTTAACTGGAATTAGGAGTATCTTTGATACTCTGACAAAAGTTGACTTCGGTCAAGGCGAGATTATGTTGAAATTTTGTTACAAGGAACTCAAGAAAAACTTACAGAATCATCATGATATAATGTAAATTGAATTCTTAAAACATTAAATAAGACCCCAAAAAAGATTATGATAGCTTTGATGGGTCTAAATTTCCATGAAAGAATCCTTAGAATCAAGGTATAATGTGTGCATACAATCAAGGTATAATGTATGCATACACTATATTCATACTATACTTTCATATATTTAAAGCGAAAATATATAACCATCGTGATGTAAAGTACATTAAGAATTAATTTTTTGAAGGTTTCAACTTAAAAATCAGAAAGATGAGGACTTGGACACAAGTTTTAGTAGTGAACCAAAAATATAAAAAAGGTATTTTTATGGAGGACTTGGTACGCACAAATTTTAGGAGATAAAATTTGTGAATAACAATTACAAATGAAAGATTTAAAGAATTCAAGTTTTTGAGAATTTATCCTAACGTGATTATGTTCTGAAGGATTTGTTTTGTTTAAAATATAAAAAAATACCCTATATGAATGTCTTGGACTCTATTTATTTTCAGGATTCCTATCTTATCCCTTTGTATTCTTGTGACATGTTTCCACTCCTGAACCGTGGCTTAATGATATAGCATACATATAGATAATTCATCTCAAAAGTCCATTTAAATGGCCAAATATAATTTAATCCGAGAGACAGGTGGAATTATCGCCTAAAAAGGACCTCAGATCATTGGCCCCTAGTGGTCTCTCCTGAAAGGACTATTCCAATGGAACCCAAACCTTTCAAATATTTGGTAGCCTGGCAGTTAGCTTCTAATTTTATAGATCTTATTAAAACTTCCTGGCGAGGGTGAATTGGAGGTACTCCTATGTATCATTTTATTGCTAAACTCAAATATCTCCGAGGCGACATCATTAAGTGGAATAAGTCGGTTTTTGGAGACATCGTGGTCATAATCAGGGAGTCTCGTGATAGATTATCAGAATTTCACGACCTTCTCCATAGAGTTCCTCTTAATCATGTTTGGGTGTAGGAAGAAAATGATTGCACCTTGTCTCTAAACCACTTTCTCTCTCTTGAGGAAAGTTTTTGGCGGCAGAAATCGAGGGAAGTCATGCTCAAAGAAGGTGATTGTAATACCAGATTTTACATGTCTACTTTGGTGAGGTGCTGAAGTGATATGATCTTTCTTTACGATGCAACCTGAAATGTTATCTCTGGTCATCTTGATGTTAAATCCCATTTACTGTCCTCTTTCAAGAACTCCTCGCACCAGTAGATCAAGTTCCACGACGCACATTACTTTCTGATTTCTTACCAGAGGGGTACTCTCCAGTCAGCAAAGAGAAGATTTATCTTGAGAGATCTCGATGGAAGTAATTAGGGAATGTATTTGGAGTATGAAGAGCAAAAATGCGCCTGGACCAGATGGTTTTGGGCTTGAGTTTTATAAATTTAGTTGGGATATTATTTGCCAGGATCTTTTTGCACCGTTCAAGGATTTCTTTAATAAAAGTAAGTTCTTAAGGGAGGTTAACTCTACTTTTATTTGTTTAATCCAAAAGAATAAGTCACCTTGTACCATGAAGGACTTTAGGCCCATAGGTTTATGCAATGTTCTTTACTAAATCATGAGCAAGATTGTGGCTAATAGACTACGTATTGTCTTGGATGCTCTATTATGCCTTATCAAGCGACGTATCTGAAGGTTAGACTCATCACTGATAATGTGCTTATGGTAATGAAATTATTTCGATGTGCCACAAACTAGCTAGCAGACCCAAAATGTGCCTGCAATTAGATCTTAGCAGTGCCTACGACATGGTGTCTTGGGACTTCGTGCTGAAGCAATTGACAACTTTGGGATTTTCTGATAAGTTTAAAACCTGGGTGAAGCAATGTTTTAGTTTTCCTAGCTGTTCCCTAGCTGTTCCATATTGGTTAATGGCTCGCCTAAATGTTACTTCAAAAGCAAGCAGGGGTTGTGACATGGAAATCCCTTATCTCCTTACTTATTCTTAATTGTTATGGGTTTTCTGAGTAGGCAACTGGAGGAGGCCTTTAAAAATGGCATCATACCAACAACTTTCCTCTCTGGGTCGACCTATGGGGTGATCATGTACTATATCCAGATGATATCTTGATTTTCTATGAGGCATCTCCAAAGGCGGCAATTGCAGTAAGGAACATCCGGGATTCTTTATGTGGGGTCGCAGGGCAAAAAACACAATGCTATGAAAAACAAAATTCTATTCTTTGGTGGTGGTTATGGACTCAAATCATAAATTAAGGTTGTTCTTCATTTTGGGGAAAGGGGGTATGCTAGAGAAATATCTAGGCTTACCTCAGGCTTTGGTGGGGAAGACAATGGCCAAAATATGATCCTGGCAAGCTTTAACGCTATCTTTTGTTGGCAAACTTCAGCTGATTAAGTCGGTCTTAAGTGCTTCCTTGATCTACTGGACTCTATCCTTCAGCTAGTTTGCAAATGCAATGTTTTAGAGAGATGTTAGTGAAACTTTCTTTGGGCAGGTACTTCAGATATGAATGATTACATCTTCTAAATTGAGAGACTATCGGCCTTACCTTTGAGGAGGGCGGTCTTGGTAGTAGGCATTTACGAGATTTGAACCCGGCTGGCATGATGAAACTTGCTTGGAGGCTGGTTGCAAACCCCTCCCCGCTTATCTCTACCTTTTTCCAACATAGGTATTTCAGAAACTCCTCCATATGGCAATTTAAAATCAAGAATTTGTGTCACGCTTGGAGGGGCATCTCCCCTAGTTTAGATAGACTTAGGCACAATTTTAAGAAGGTTGTGGGTAATGGTAATTCCATCTAATTTTGAGCTGATCCATGGTTATTGGAGGTCTCTATTTGGGACAAGTTTGGACATAACATACACAAAGACTTGGGTCTACTTGCGAAATGTCGTATGGCTGATTTTCTCTTTGTTAACCCCCACAGTGATGTCTGCCTGATCCCACCACTGGGCCCTATTCTTTGTGAAGAACTACTACTGGGCCTTTGATTCGAGCCTGGCAAGCAGTAAAGACTTTCATAGTTCCTGTAAAGCTTTTTGATGATTTTCTTGTATGGATTCACTCCTCGGATGGATCTTTTTCTATTAAGAGCACTTGGAATTGTATTAGAGATAGGCTCCCACCAGAGAGATCTCCAAATATTTTATGGGTTTCTCATTCCCACCCTCGGGCCAAATGGTTCAATTGGCTTTCCCTTCATCTTCGCCTCCCTACATCAGGGCTACTCCAGTTCAGAGGGACTCGTCTAGCATCTTGTTGCCGCTTGTGCTATAATGAGGGTGATTCTTTTAACCATATTATTCTGTTATGTACTCTCTCGCAAGTTCTTTGGCATTCTATTATGTGGCGAAAGATTCCCCATGAGCTCATCCACTCCTTTAATATTTGAGAGTTGGGTCAAATTCCGGTTTGATCAATGGGATTATGTATTGTTTGGAACTCTCTATTCTCCCTAAACCATCTGGCTCTTGTGGACTGAAACGAATTTGTGTATCTTTGAAGGAAAGTCTCTGTATATCTTTGAAGGAAAGTCTCTGTATATCTTTGAAGGAAAGAGACTCAAAAGGGAACAACAGTTGCACTGGATCATCTCTGTTGTTACAGGCTTAGCAAAGGTGAAAGGATGGACTTTCCAACTGTCAAAGAAGCATATAGTCGACAACCTCAAAATTCAGTGGCGCCCTATGCATCCTAAAGCTTAGATTTTGGTCTCATGGTCTCCACCCCTTTCAAGTTTCTATAAATTAAACATTGATGGCTAGTCTCGTGGCAACCCTGGACTAGTTGGTTGTGGAGAAATAATCAGAAATGATATGGGAGGGTTTCTCGCCACTTTTGTTGTTCCTCTAGGGCACACGTCCAACAATGTACTGAATTTTCGGGCCTTGAAAGTCGCCACTTTTTCTGTTCCTCTAGGGCCCACATCCAACAATGTTACTGAATTTTCGGCCCTTGGAAGGGTCATTCAGCTAACTATTGAGTTGCATTGTTTTCCATTGCTCATTGAGAGCGACTTGCGGATTCTGGTGCATTCCCTTCGAGGCAGCCATAAAGCCCCTTGGAATCTCTGTATTGTGACAACAAACTGCCTTTAACACCTGGATGGTCGCCCTTGGAGTATTTCGTATGTCTACCAAGAACAGTCCATCACCTGGCCAACATTGCCGGAAGTCTATAAACTCTATTTTCTTTCTTCACGTATATCTTCTGATATGGCCAAGACTTTGCACAAAAGAATTGTACCATAAACTATATATCCTTTGTAACATTCTTTCTTACTAATGAAGAACAAGTAGGGGCCCAAATCCCTATCGATTTACCAAAAAAAAAAGAAAAAAAACCGGAGACATTCTTTATTTTTCTAGCACGACTTAGAGTGCTTTTCTTTATATTTGTCATCTACTGTTTGTAAAAAACACTGTTGTCAATAGTTTATCTATCCTTTCTGATTTTCTGTATGGTTATTTGTTTTGGTTGATATAATCCAGTTATTGTTGATTTTTGGCTTTCAACAAATAATAATGTGTATCATTCCACATTGATTTAGGCTGTAGACTACGATAATGTGGGTTCGGTCTTGCGTGTACGTGGTAAGAACATCCTCGAGAATGAACATGTGAAGGTAAACGATAGTCATCATCTATTCATTTGTGTTTCCAGTTCTTGCCATAACCTTTACGCATTGTTTGCAGATCGGTGCGTTTCATACACTTGAAATTGAGCAACATCGACCATTTGTTTTGAGGAAGGCATGTATAGAAAACACTATTGTGATTTTTCTGTTCTTGATTGTTGGTATAAGTGCAATACCTCATCTTGATATCAGTCTCCATTGTTTGATTTACTTGCTGTTATTTGATATACGTTTTTGGCTACTGATTTTTGATAGTTCATTTCTGTATTTTAATCTATGAGTCCATCTTGTCTTCATGTATTACACACTGATTTTCCTTGTTTGAGTGGATTACACAGCTTTTGTGAGTTTTGAAATTGTTAAGGTATTTGGTCCTGTTTAATGTGAATAACGAGCATGTCTTATAGGGTTTTTAGGCTGTTTGTTTTGTATAGCCTTGTAGTTTTCTTATTCTGGAAAAAAGATGCATTAATGTTTCCACAAAATTTGAAATGTTTTGTTTCGGTATCAACTCATGCTCCCTTACCATTTCTTTTCTTCCAAATTTTCCTCATTTCTTTTGAATGACTTGTTACAAATGGAGGTATTACATCTGGTTTGATGAGCAGGTTTCTTTGGGTATGTTTAGCGGTGTATGTTTAGCTTGATGGAGGTATTACATTTGGGTATGAGCAGGTATTTACATCTGACTTGATGGAGGTGTATGTTTAGTGGACATAAAAAATGTTATATCAGCTTGATCAGCAGGTTTCTTTGGGTATTTCTGGATGACAGCGTTAAGTTTATCATTGGGTTTGTATAAAGTTGCTTTTGTCATTTGTTTATTTATTTGTATTTAATCACAGACAGCAGTCCATCACAGTGGCAGCTGAGTATGTGATAGCCCTCTTTGCTTATGGGCATGTGTGATGTTTTTTAGATAATTTTAAATTATGGGCATGAATGCTCATCTTTCTCTTATCTCCTACCTTTTCTGTGATATCTAGCTTTTTTGAAATTCTAATTAATTTTAGGGACTGCATTTTTCAACTTTACCGGTGGATTATTAAAGTTCTTTTGGCATTTGTGAGAGAACTGATATACATTTGGTGTCACCTTTGAAATTTGGATAAATATTGGGTATTTAGTTAAGTTGACGTGGATGTAGTTTAATAATTCTCAGATAAAATGTAGGAGAAATAATATCATCTATACTGATTGAATTTGATATGTAGCTTCAAATTACCTACATTTATTCTATTTGTATTTGTTATAAATCATATGTGAAGTATTACTAACGTTGTATTTGCTATAAATGATTGTAGGATGTTTGGGATTCTGTGGCACTTGATGTACTCAAACAAGCCTGTGGTATGCTTTTATCTTAACTCTGGAGTTTTGTTGGCAATGTCATGGCTTTGATATACAACTAGCAAAGCTCTTCAATGCTGAACAATAGCATCTTTTAGATATAACCATGGATGCTTGCATAATGGAGACACAAAGTAATGAACAGAAATATGTATGTCTATTAAGTTTTATCTTCTGGCTTGTCTTTCTTTCATGTTTTTTTCCACTTGCTGCTTTCTTGAATTTCAGATCCTGCTGCAAGTGCTGACCTAGCTGTGGTTTTGATGCAAGAAGGATTAGCTCATATTTTTCTTGTTGGTAAAAGGTACATCAAAGTCTTCTTGGTGACGTTGATTGGAGCTGAATATTGTTTTGAACTGCTTTGTTTACTTGTAGCATCACATTTTATAGTATTGAACGATTAGGCCTTGTTGGGAGCATTAATTGTCAGAGTGAAGGATCTTTATGGGAAACCTGAAAAGCCATAGTCTTTAATGGTCATAGTAATATCAAAAGCAGCCCCTTGTTGGGAACATAGGGAACATAGCTTCTTTTTTTTTCTTTCTAGTAGGAGTAGGTACAATTCGGCAGCCTTTTCAACACGTGGGGTTTGAAGTGAAGTAGCCCGTGGCTTGCCATGCTAGAATGCCTAACATTGTATTATAATTCTAACAGAAGTTGGTTTTATGGCTAAAACAGTATGCGTGCAAGCTTGGCCCGAAATGTAACCCTATTTGTATTTCTTCTTCGACTGAGTGTGGTTTCTGGTACCATTTCCTTTTTGGGATACAATTATAATTTATCATAACACAAATAAAAAATTCTTAGGATTGGAAAACTCGGTGCCTCTACTAGGTCTCACCCTTAAGCCAAAGGTTTGTTTGATGTTCATGTCGCTGCTTGCTCAGAGATTTGTGTGTGACAAAAAATTATAACGATATAGTTGAAATAGGATTACACATATGGTGAGGTATGTTTTTTGCGAATTGAAATATAAACTCGATGGGAGGGTAAAGGTATGACTAGTGGCAAGGGGATCCCAACAGATCTACTGGTTGATTATGAGGAATTCTCTGCTCCTGTGACGGAGATGGAAACTGTTTGAGTATTGGTATTAGTCCCTGCAAACAAAGTATGATCACCAACTTGGTGTTGACAATTCTTTTCTTAACTAGGATCCAAATAATTAATGTTTGTTATTCCTTCATCATTTCCTTCCGACAATGCGCCATAGCATGGTTTGCAAGTATCTTAGTGCGATTCTGGGAACAACCTTACAATGGGGCACTTGCTCTTGTTGCAAAGATGACGATAATTTGAGTATTGATGGAAGTGGTTGCAAAAAAAGAAAGGCTGTTATACTAACTCAAGTTAAGAATGACTTTCTTTGGGAGCTAGACAAGATGCTTTACAGACTAAAAGAAGTAATATGTACGATTTGACATGGTCTTCAAATGCCTGTTTGGTACTTTCAGACATGCTGTCATGTCTATAGCTTCCAAAGGATGCTCATAGTGTATGTTGACGATCTTGACAAGATATTACTTATGACTGAAGATTTTAGGGAATTTAGCATTATCTTTAATTAACCTTTAAAATGAAACTTTTGGGAACTTTTGGATGCCTTGTTGGAACTGTGCTTAGTAGAGTTCGTTCAGGGAGTTTTGATATTTGAAAAAAAACAAATTGTGCATATTATGCATGATTGACATACCTGCACCAACTTGAGGTGCCGAGCACTCATTTATGAGTGCTTTGCCTACATATTTGTATTGTTATATATGGAGTTCTGTTTGTCACCCTTTTTTCCATTTTTCTTCATGTATATGCTAAAACTATTTTGAGGCATTTGCATTATTATTTATATGTCTAGTGATGCATGATATTATTACTATCTAGTTGTTTTGTGCTACTTTATGGTCCTGAAATCGTAGTAAGACAGGGATTTGCAGACTAAAGACCCTAAATCCTGCTTCATGTGTGGGTCTGCTGATTCACTGCCAGGTTGAAGGGGTTGCTCAAGCCTTTTAGTTGGAGATGCCATGTTTCTTTGAATTTGGATACTTTCCCACATCTTTAACTGTTACAAATTTGTATTCTTTGCTATTCCCTAGCTTCTTGTACTTTACACTAGCTATTGGAGCTGCTCTTTTGATGCTATGCAGTGCTGTTTATTTTACTAACCAATGAATCTGAGGGTCTTCCTCAGTGTTTGCATTTACACTTTATCATAAGTATGTAATAATATTATGATAGCAGCATGAAACAATTTGTTTGTGGGGAGAATCACCATTACTTGCTTGAGTAGGGTTTGTGGCATGAATGCATTGTTTGCTGAGGAATCTATCCATATTCCAATTCGGGGCATTGCTCCATTTTTGTTCCAATATTGATTTTGTAGCTTGGCTGTAACTATGTTTTTTATTTTTATTTTTTATTTTTTTATTTCTCTTTAGTTTTTTGATGGCTGTAGATGTCAACATTTAAAAAAAATAATTTTTTTGATGGCTGTAATCTTTCTGTAGGATCTGGTACATATGTGGAATTTTGGATGTCTTTTATGGATGAGACTTGCTGTTCCGACCATTTCCCAAAACTCTTATTTGTTAAGGATGGCTTTCTTTGCACTTTAATGGTCTATGAGAATTTCTGTTCAATGTTCAGAGCATGCTGAAATAATTATCCGTCGTCTTCCTGGCATGTTGCTACTGTTCAATGAATTTGTTGTGCCTAAATATCTGACAGTGTGACAACAACTCGCTCCAGAATAGAAGCTTCAATTCCTCGTAAGCATGGCGCTGCTATTGCTGGTTATGAAAAGGTACATATGGTGCTTACCATGGTATTACTTAGGTCACTGAAATCTACGCATTGACCCATTATTTGGTTCTTTGATTCTAGTAAATCAGTAGAGATATTATTCCTTCGAGCATTATAATTCTTTTCATTATGACTCTGCACTGAGGTGGATTTGTATATGCTTTGACAGGCTTTGAACAAGTTTTTTGAGAGTGTTTTGCAGGTAACTTTACGATTAAATAGGGACTGAATTTTTGTTCTTCTCCTTCCTATTGCATTTCCTGAGGCTGATGAATGGCTAACAAAATGGGCCATGCTTTACTTAGGCTGTTCTGAAGAACATTGACTTCAAGGTTGTCCGTTGTGCTGTAATAGCAAGCCCGGGCTTTACAAAGGTCACTAAGCTTAACACCACTCTCATTATGAATTCTTTAAATCACAATGTGGCTCTTTATGTGCAAGGTTTGGTTTTTTTAGGACTATCTCAAGATATCTGTAGGGTACAAGTTCGAGAAGAGAAATGTGACATATCTAGACCTCAGTTCTAGCAATGCCTGGTAAACATATATGGGGGTCGAAGCAGGCAAAGAAACAATCTTTTTAAAAGGAATATCCTAAGAGATTATAGGGGAGTTTTAGTTTTAGAAGCATGAGTATTATCCAAATAAGAGGTGCTTGTAAAAAAGACCTAGCTTTTGAGATGAGTGAGCATATGGACAATCCATATTGCTGGTTCATGTGGCAACTGATCGAAGTCAATTAAATAAGGGTGGCAACGGGACGGGACAGGTCGGGTCGGGTCGGGTCTGGTCCAGGTCCGGGTCCAGTCTAACCCGAACCCAAAAAATGTAGTGTGGGACTCGGACTTAGACCTGGACCCTATCGGACCTGACCCAAAAATTAAAATATTTATGTATTCAACTATATTTAAATATACATCATATATTGAGACCTGAAAACTATCATCGGACTCGGACCCAGACCCTAATAATGTTTGGGTCCAAGATTTGGACCCGGACCCGATCCGCCGGGTCCAATTTCTGGACCCCATACCCGGACCCCGATTGGGTCTACCCCTCGGGTCTTGGGTTGGTCCGGGTCCATTGCCATCCTTAGAAATAAATAAGGTTTTTCACTCATTTATTACTTTCTGTGAGTCCCAACCATATGAATTAGTTGTCTAATGTGGGATACCATCCATGTAATTTAGATTATTTATCCTAGTAGCAATGATGTATTAAATTATTTATCGTAGTATTAATGTTGTATTACACTACTCAGACTGAGGTTTTCGCAAGCAGAAAACTTGTTATTGTAATCTCAATCTTGTGGAAGTGGTCATTCTAGGGGGGCCCCATAATTGTTTAAACTTTGGTGATGGAAAGTAACTTCAGACGAGTAGTTTCTTCTTTTTAGTAATGCTGTTTCCTTTACTATCATGTGTAAAGAAGGTTTAAATTTACTTTTATCATTTCTTGCAAATGTATTCTGTTTTGCCTTTACCAACTAATGTCCTGACCGTTAATTCACAACTAGTTAATATATGTAAGCGATATTGCTGAGGATAATGGCTTTGCTGTTGAAAACTGTACTCCTTTTTATGTCCTCAGGATCAGTTCCATAGTTTCATGCTCCTAGAGGCAGAAAGGCGGGAGCTGAGATCAATAATAGAGAATAAATCACGTATACTGCTTGCACATTCGACATCAGGATACAAGTATGTTAGAAGCCTCATCTTGTAGTTATGTTCTGTAATTGAATATTTAGTTTTTCTGTGGAAGTAAATGCAAAGTCTCTTCATGGTTGAACCATATTGGCATTGACTTGGCTAAGAGCAATATTTGACCATCAGGTTTATATGATGGAACATGCTGCTGAATTCTAAATGGGGTGCACTAGTATTTGTAGCATGCAAACTGCAATTCCATAACTAGGTTTCTTTGCGGGTAATTTGGAGTTAAGAGGAAATATGAATCACTTGCCTGATTTATGTCTGTAATGTGGCCAACATTATAATTCTAACCAGTTTCCAGTACTCCAGGACTCTGCCACTGCTTGGGGCGAGTTGGCTTGGAAAGTCCTGAGTCAATTTGCTTTGTCCTGTCTTTAGAAAGACATAGTTTCTGAAACATATTTGCTGGAGGTTTTGAAGACTAGCACAAATTCAGGGAGGCTTGGTCAGACTTGGGTTGTATGAATCTCGCTCATCCAGAACTTTTCCTGTTTAGAGTAACTTGGGTGAGTCCAAGTCTGACTCACCTTGTTCTGAAACACTGATTATAGCTCTTGGTTAACTAATTGGAGCCATTAGAGTTAAACTGGATACATTGACTTTATTGTATTCCAAAAGCACATTTGTATCAAAAACATCGCTTTAAATGTCATGTTGAAGTGCAGTTGGATACCTTCTCCAGGAAGATTTACACTTCGCTTTAAATGTCATGTTGAAGTGCAGTTGGATATCTTCTCTAGGAAGATTTAGATTATTTTATTTAATACTTAATCTTTTTTGTTTAAGCGTTTCATGCATAATATGTTAGGGTGAGACGTAACTTTATACTATTGAAGTGTTTTCATGCATAATATGTTAGTGAGAAATTAAACTTTGATAGTCTTCACTTGGTAACCTGGCGTTGCGGGGTTCAGTGGTCTCTTTCCAAAAACTCCTGATGGATCATGTGTCCTCTTGGGGTTTGTGAGTCATCGTAGGTGGAGGCTTGACCACTTCTTGTTGGCATTTAGATCTCTTTGCCGATTAGTCATAAAGTTTGTGTCATTTTATATGATTCTCGTAGCCATTCGTAAGTCCTTTTTTTTTTTTTTAATGCCCTTAATTAGTTAATTTGGTTATGAAGGCGATAGGATACTATATTCTGCCTTTTGAGCCAAATTTCTAAAATTTGAAAGATGTGAGTCGGCAGAACTCATTTGTTTTTGTACCATCTACGAATCATGTCACTTCCCCTTTGGTTACTTTAGAATAATCATGACCCTTCGATGTAGCTAAACATCGATTCTTCTTCCCATCCGTTTGTCTTTTCTAGATTTATTTGTGAGGTTTCTCGTCTTGCCACGGGCCCTTCCTATTGTTTGTCCTTTTCACAAGCTTTACTGATGCTGTGAGGATTGTTTTCTTCCTTACTGATAGCAGGTTGTGGATGAGTATTTATAGTCTCTCTATAAGAATGAGACCTGGGACTTTGTTTAGGGTAGACTTCATCAACCATCAATTGGGTTTACGAGGTAAAGAATCAATCTGAGGGTACACATGTGGCTGCAAGGACCATCGTTTTATGTGAGTGTTTATTTTAAAGTGTAGAAATTTAAGGGAGAGTTTCTCAATATTTGTGAAGATCATCATATTTCGGATCATCATTGCTGGTCCTACTGTTTGACGTCAATATAGCAGTTTTTTGAGATAAAAGAATTTGGATTCATTTAAGGAGGAGTTAGAATCCATTTTTTCGCCAAATCCATGATATTCTTTTGATGTTCAACACTTCACCATTTGCCACCGTCCATTTGGCTCCTTGCGCATGGGCTCTATTGTGCAAAATACTGTTAATATGTGGCTTTTTGCATTCTATTCTAAAAGAGGTCTTGACCCTTTCCTATAGTGGAGCAATAAACTCCAACAGGGAGTGTGGTTCAGAGGGACCAAAAGATTATTGTGCAGAGGGCTCTAGATTGGAAAATGATGTTTGTCGAGACTCAGGGTAGGCTTAATGAGCTAGATTGGTCGAGTCATAAAACCCTAAGTACCCGGGCATATAGCACAACCAATGAGGGTTGTCCTTTGATGAGGTTGGAGTTGCTTAAGGTAGTGAGCCAAGGGATTGTGTGACCTTTGTGTGTGATGGTAGGCCTGAAGGGATGAGGGCCAAAGCCTCATCTTGAACCATCACACGAGATGTACATATAGTAGCCGTAATGGGAGAGCAAATCAGCATTAAAGGTGATACGTGTACATGTGCGAGAGATAACCTTCATATGCATCATAGAGTTGTGTGTGCACAGGTCTGTGTGACCTTGGATTGTCCTCAGGGGAAACTTGTAATCCATAAACTAGCATTGTATCTTGTCACCTATTGGCTGACTTTGGTAGCCCAATCATGAACCCCTGCGATGGTTTGTGGGTCATGGGAAATGCTGGGTCAGTTTGAGAAAATGAGTGTGAATTATAGTCCTCAATAGAAGATAGAGTGCTTCAGCAAAATTGATATTTACTTTGCTTCAGCAAAATTGATATTTACTCAACATCAAATTAATTTAGAATTAATTAATTTGATCTTAAATGATTTTTAGATTTATAGAATGAATTTTTATAAGCCTCTGGATATTTTACTTTCTCAAAATTGATTTATGAAGTGTCTAACATTGAATTTTCAGTATTTTAATATGTAGAGAAAAATAAAATAATTATCTTTTTCTATAAATCATTTTATTTATTTTATAAATTATAAAATATAAGGGGCCCCATCATGGGCTATGGGGCCCACAATAATTGCACATGTAGGAAGTACGTGTTTCCACATAAGGGCCCCATGAGAGGCCCATCCCTCAAAGTGGGGCATACTTCTTTCCTTATATTATGTCGAGGCCATCAAGGCACTCAATCAAAGTTGAAGCAAAATAAAGTGTTCTGGAAATTAAGGATATTTGATTTTCAAAGAAAGCATGTGTAAGAGAGAACATGGAAAGGAAGATATAATATATTTTTTATATTTTATTTATTTGATGGGATTGGGTTAAGGAAGCTAAAGGATAATGTTGTAGTACCTTCTTTGTAATCATGATGGCTGATTTAAGGATTGTAAGTCTAAGACCTCTCACCTTATAGGTTTCCTATGATCAATGGTTTGGATCTATTTTCTATAAGGATGGCTAACCCTAGAAAGCCCTAACCTTGATATGAGTTTATAAATAGCCTCTATGGGGGGTCTCAAATATCTACATCTTGAGCTCTCTCTCTCTCTCTCTCAAGGCTCCACACTCGCTCTCTTTAGATCTGGTTTTCTCATCTCTCTGTAAGCCTCGCACATCACTCAGAATACTTTTGAGAAGAAAAACAGGGGGCATGCCCCAAGCATAGTGCCAAGGATAGGCAAGCCCCATATTAGGTATTGAGACCTAGGCTACCATACTAACTATTGAGATCTAGTCTATCGTACTAGGTATTGAGACCTAGTTTTCCATACTGGTATTGAGAGCTAGCTCACCATACTAGCTATTAGATTACCATGCTTAGGCATTGAGGCCTAGTCTTGCTTCTAGTTTCAGCATTGCTCTCTTATTTAAAAGGGTTGATAGCTTATGGTCGCTTATCTGGCCACCCTTGTGGTCATCGAGGACAAAGGAGATGTCTCGGTGCCCCTCGTCGTTGAGAAGCTCCTGGAGGAATTTGCTGATGTGATGCCCCCAGAACTCCCAAAGTCCCTTCCTCCACGTAGGACTGTGGATCATAGGATCAAGCTCGAGCCAAGAGCTCGACCCCAACCTGTGCCCTATATTGTATGGCCCCATCAGAGCTAGCTGAGCTCCGCAAGCAACTAAATGAGCTTCTGGATGCTGGCATGATCCAGCCATCCAAGTCCCCCATTAGTGCCCTAGTCCTCTTCTAGAAGAAGCACGATGGCTCAGTAAGGATGTGCATGGACTATCACACACTAAACAAACTGACAATCAAGAATAGGTATACCCGTGATCAACGACTTGTTCGACTGCCTGGCCCAGGCCAGGGCATTCAGTAAGCTTGACCTTCGATCAGCCTATTGACAAGTGCGCATTTGCAGAAGGAGATAAAGAAAGATGACATGTGTAACCTGCTATAGGTCTTACGAGCTTCTTGTGATGCCATTCGGGCTAACTAATGCCCCGACAACCTTTTGTCATTTAATAAACAATGTATTAAGTGGGTATATCAATGAGTTTGTAGTCGTGTACTTAGATGTTATTGTCGTGTATAGCCAGACCTTAGATGCCCATGTTAAGCATCTTAGGCTGGTGCTGGAAAGACTAAGGGCTAACCGACTATATGTAAAGCTTGAAAAGTGTGTATTTGCCCAGGAGGAGAATATGTTCCTTGGGTACAAGGTGGGTAGGGGGAAAATTGAAATGGATGATCAAAAGGTGTGAGCCACAACTTAAGGCCCTCCATGTGCTACACTCCTTCTTAGGGCTAGCTAACTACTATTAACGCTTCACTGAGGGGTACTCAAAGAAGGTAGTGTCCCTGACTAACTTTCTTAGGTAGGGTGTCAAGTGGGAGTGAACAAAGGACTGTGAGCAGTCCTTCCAAAACCTAAAGAGAGCAATCACCAACAAACTGGTGTTGTGGCTTCCAGATTTCGACAAATCTTTTGAGGTGCAAATTGATGCATCAAATTACGCAATCGGTGGGGTGCTGATGCAAGGTGGCAACCCAGTGGCCTTCAAGAGTTAGAAGCTGGATAAGACTGAGCAGCAGTACTCAGTCCATGAGAAGGAGATAATCGCAGTGGTGCCTTGCCTAAGGGTGTGGCGGCATTACTTACTGGGGAGTAGGTTCGTTTTGCACATAGAAAATGTGGCCACGGTCTACTTCACCATGCAAAAGAAGTTGACCCCTAAGCAGACGCCATGGCAAGAGTTCCTGAAGGACTTTGACTTCACCCTGGAGTACAAACCATGGAAGACTAATGTGCTGACTAATGCACTCAATTGGATTACTGAGCACCT